ATTTTGACAAGCACCTGATTTCACCATGCTATCTCACATGTAGCATTATAACCAACGATAAAGTAGAAAATTACATTCATAAATGCAAAGAGCAACTGTACGGGTTTGATGGACATCTTTGACTTATTCATTTTATCAAATAGCATCAAAACATACATTTGGACCCTCAGGCAACCTGTTAACTTTAGTCTCAGTAAGAGTTTAAACAAATATTTAATGGCACTTGCAACACAAAATAGGTCACAAGTGCCGAACATTAGAGTTAAAGGTATAGGTAGAGAGTAACATACAAAGAAAACAAGAGATACATGTGTAAGGACAATATAATATGTTTGATAAACTGTGGGAAAGGACAGGACAAAAGGATATAAATAGAAGTAGAAATAGGACTTAGAAAGTGGCGATGGATGGGACACACCTTAAGAAAGCCCAGCGGAAACATCACAAGACAGTCACTGCAGTGGAACCCACAGGGAGTACGAGGCAGGGGTAGGCCACGTGAAACATGGAGGAGATGCGTGGAAAGGGACATGAGAGAAATGAAGCTCACTTGGAACGATGGCTCAGGACAGAGATAAAAGGAAGGAGCTTGTATGTGGCCTATACCCTGCCAGGGGTGAAAGGCATTGGTGATGTTTGATAGGAAAGAAGGAGCAAACCACATTAGAGCCCCCATCAAACATCCACCAAGATACTCGAACAGCATCATCTAGCAACGACCACAGAGACAGGGATGAGGTCTAGGGTCAGTGATGACACAATCATTTCCTAACAAAGCAAAGCGGAATGCATCATGTACAAGACAACAGGACACTGGTTGCAACATCCTAAACTTGCTTAAAAATACAATGCATCAACTGTAATCCACAATAGCAAGTACACATGTTCAAGTACCAGAATATAATACAAGATAAAAGACAGGGCCATATTTCAGAATTGGTAAACAGAATGGGACAAAAAGGCAGTGTCATGTTTGCACTTGACGATTCAGACACAAGAAGCTAGAAAGATTTACAAAGAACACAAAAAACACCAATGCATGCCCACACACACACACACACAAACCTATGGCACACAATAGGCTACATCAACATTACATGAAGAAAGAACATAAAACAGAAGCAGCTTTGATTCATTTCAGTTTTGTCTCACACAACAACGCACAACACCATAACACGTTCGTGATCTCTCTTTGTTCTTCACAAGAATATTATCGCCCTCCAAAACATACACACATGTACTTATTTTCTACATCGAACACACATTAACTCATGAGATATGATTATGATGCTGCCAGAAGAAAATCCACAAAACAATGAACGACATCTGATTCATTTATCATACTCATGAAACCTGTAACTGAACACAAATCTCTTTGCAGTTCACAGTATGGAAATTTCACTTGCACATCCAACATCAATCAATGTGTCAAACTCTCTTAGCTCGGGATGATTTTTGTTTGTGTTTCTAAAGTATGTCGTTAAAATATTGGTCGACTTTGAAAAACAAACACACATTTACAACAAATTTTTCATACCTTCATTAACAGCCTGACATTTATACCACTTTACATTTTTTGAAACAACATTTATAGACTGAAGTTTGTTTTGCGTGCAAAAATTATATTTTTATTAATTACAAAACAACAGGTAGTGAACCTGATTTCAGGTCTATCGGGTTATACAGGAAAACCAGATATCCGGCCCATTGGGTCAAGAGGGGTTCAACACATCCATCTTCTAATGTAAACAGACGCACACACATACTTATATATAGAAATCAATTGACAAAAGAGGACAAGATGTCGTTTAAAGAAGTAGATTTTGGCCAGCTGCAGAACGCACAACTTGCTGAGTCTACAACTTCCAAGAGACAAGGCACATATGGCTGTACAGGTGTTTGGACCCAAGGCTCCTGATGTCGGCAAGAAAAAAACTTTTGAAATACAAAAAACACAATTTAAACCAAACAAAAACAAAAAGAACATAAAAAAAACAATAAAAAAACCCCAACAAAACAACGGCAGTATGTTACGCACATCAGCACATTGTTGCCTCAGAACTTTTTGTGTCGCGGCGCGGTGGAATCGGGCGCTCGTCAATTTTTGGGCATTTGGGGTTTTATGGGTATCATCTTAAAGCCTGTACATTTGCCTTCCTTTTGGTGAAAAATTACCCATTTATCTTGAATAGAGGAAAAGATATTAGTGATTGAAGGAAGTCAGAGTTGCCTGGTTTCAAAGGTAAAATTAGTGAGGAAAAGGCTGTCAAAGTTTGGTAACTTCCATAGCCTGAAAGTCTTTGGAAACTGAAAATTTACATTTTTTGAGCCTTTAATCAATGTTATTTCAGTAAAATCCATGGCAAAATTTATGTTTAAATGGATTACTGAGCCAAAATAAGAAAAGTAGAAAAAAAAATGCCCATCGGCCAAAACAAAATGCAGATTTCTTTGATTAAATAATTTTGACGAGCGCCTGAGTTCACCACGATGCCTCACATTTTGTCCAAAGTGTACTTTAAGTAAAGAGGCACTTCGGACAAAATAGTTTTGATCTGACGACATGTAAAGTAAAATAAAACTCTACGTGATACAACATCTGTTTTCATGACACAAAACATTCTTTGGATAATGTCATCATAAATCGGTTATAAATTCAGACACGATACATATAACTTAAATAACTACTGACACTTGAGCTGCGAGAATAAAATCAATAAAACACATGGTTATAATATAATACAGATCAAGATAATACTAAAAAACACGAAGAGAGTGAGCACAAAATATCTAACTATCTCAATTTATATCTGATCTGATCTATTGCAGCACACTGTGTCAAACAGAGACATCTTTGCAGTATGATAGAAAGCTTCTTACCATGTCAGTAATGTCACTGAATGCAATACTTGTTCAGTTTGACGCTGTTCTGAATACAAAGTGAGCTTATTTCTAAAAAATTAATTATCCTATCCTTTATCTCACATTCCTTTTAAATTTTGAATTCTTTCTCTACATCCCCCCCCCCCCCCCCCCAAATCTATATTCCATATTATATTCCTCAGTTAAAGTCCTGTTCAGTTCATAATTATAAAGTAAATCAAACCGTTACAGATTTTTGAGTGGCCAAATCTAATCTCTGTCTCCGTTGTAATAAAGTTTGTATCCTGTAGCAAAGGAAACTACAAAAACTGAAAAGTGCCACAGAGCAAAAAATACAAACTACAGCGCACAAGTAACCAAGTCAGTGGCCAACAGCCACAAATTTGACCAGCAACAACAGTGACTACTTTTGAACACTTCTCCAACATAGAATGTCCGAACACATTACATGACAAAGAAATGTCACAATGCAGTCTGCTTCAGCTGAAACCGGTTGAACCTCTTGATTTTCTTCAGGGTTAAGTCAGGTTTTCGGTTATAATGACAGGTTGGTCAAACTCAAAAAGAAGAAAATAAAATCAAGGAATTTTTCTCCTTCATTATACCGCTGTTTTTGGATAACTGCGTTCAGTCCAGTTTCTAAGCCGAGTCCATTGTATTTTTTCCATTCCCCACACAGTCTGCTTTACCATAACACATCTGATCAAAATAAAATCAAGGAATTTTTCTCTTTCATTATGCCGCTGTTTTTGGATAACTGCGTTCAGTCCAGTTTCTAAGCCGAGTCCATTGTATTTTTTCCATTCCCCACACAGTCTGCTTTACCAGAACACATCTGTTCAAAGTTCATCCAGACCCATGACGAGCACGTCTGTGAGCAGGAGCTATAAGGCAGTTTGACTACATCAAGGACAAAAGAAAAGCACTGATGCTGAAACGTGCCCACTCCATGAGAAGTGAAACTGCAGCAACACATAACATAGTGTGGATGATGATCACTTACTGGAAAAAAAAAATCTAAATGTGGTGAAATCAGGCGCATATATCGGGTAATCTAATCAAATCAAAGAAACCGGCATTTTTCCGCAGCTTTAACAATTTTTATGTCCATTTAAAAACACAATTCTGTGTCGAATTTACAGAAAAAAACATTGATTAAAAACACAAAAAATAAATATTTTCAGCTTCCAAAGTCTCTCAAATTATGAAAGTAGTCAAAATTAGGTGGCCATTTTCTCGCTAATTTTACCCTTGACTCCAGGTAACCTTCGCTTAACTCAAGAAAGAAAAAAAAAGAACAAATGAGACTGTGGATCATCACAATCACCTGTTTCACTGCACAGCCCTAAATGACATCAGAGCTACCCTTCTCCCTCCGAGACCTAACATTGACAACACAATCTACGGAACATTACAGCGACTGCAGCAAATCTGAACTTATCACTACATGGCATTGGGCAGAAGGGCAGGAGCCCAGCTGTTGCGGGATCGATACCAACAACAACAACAACAACAACAACAACAACAACAAAAACAGGCTACATTACTACTTAGAATGGTTTTCAGCAAATTGTCATCTTCGCATTACGACGCGTGTCACTGCAATTTTACTTCACATTGAATGGCTGTACTACCCAAAACGAAGCGTGGTCCGTACAAAAACTCATCTCCAGAAAATGGAATGGAATAAGAACAGAGACTGTTAGACATATGGATCTTCTGAAAATGAGGAAATATATTTATTCTTTAACCTGCTTAGTCCACCCTTCCATACATGCATAATGATGGCTAGATGCAGTGACATTCGTCAGTCATGCACCAGTCATTGAGATGACAGGTTCAGAGCTGGACCTAGTAGATTCTAAAACTGAAATTCATCAACACACATATGTATATATATACATATGTCATGTATACTAAAATATAAAGTCATCAGCAGGAAGGGAGTGGGGGATTGGGTTTGGGGGGGGGGGGGGGGGGGGGGGGGTTAAAAAAACAAATATTTTCTTCCACAGTAAGGAAAATGAGCCCCCCATTCCCCCATTTACATTAAATTGCTAAAATAATCTGAGGTATAACAATCCCAAACCAAGAAGAAAGAGGCCATACAGAATATGGGGATATGGGGCAGGTGGTGGGGGGGGGGGGGGGAGGACTTTTAAGCACCCCACAACACTTTTAGTCTGAGTCCAGCACAGCTAGCAGAACACAGCAGCTACAACAGCGGTTTCCACCAGGGAGGGTAGTAGTCAGCTTTAACCGTCTGGTTCCCGATGATCGTGTTGGGTTTCGGGTAGCCTGCATAGTAGACAACCTCGCCGCGGACTAGGTAGCCAGCCCACCAAGAGTAAGAGCCTGACGTGATGATAATGTGGTTGCTGTTGACCATGATGGCAAGGTCAAGGGCACCATCCGTCTCATGAGAGTAGTGGATGTCGGGGCCAGAGTCCAGGTACGTCTCGGCCCAAACAAAGTCGTTGGTACAGATGATAAACATTATGTTGTCAAACTTCTTCCGAAAGTACGCCATAGCCCGGTAGTAATACGGGATTGGGGCCACGGTGAAACCTTTCACCCGCTGACGCACAAAGTCTCCCCTCCGGACATGAATCGCCACCACCACAGCCCCCTTTTTGTTCCGCTCTTCTAAAACATTGGCAATATACCTCTCTGCTGCCTTTTGAATGTTTTCATGGAACACAAAGTACTTGTCTAAGAGCTTTTGTCGTATGTGATTGTAGTACTTCCAGGACTGAAAATACCCCACCAGGTATGTGTCTCTTTTGGGGTTCAAAGTTTCTACGACTTTAGAATATTTTGCTGTCATTTCTTCATTGTATTCCAGAGGACTCCGAAGCAAGTTACTATCCCCCTGGGGAGTGGGGAGGTTAAAAACGTCTAAGACGTCCAAGCTACCAGGAATAATCGGAGTCATGTTGTACTTCTCCGCCATACCCACGAGCGTGGCATACTCAAACATATGGTTACCCAAACGGCCCTTGAACGATATCATAAGCCGAGGTTGAGACGGATTGTACTTGCGCTTGACATCCTCCCACGGGATTACGGGTCGGTGGATCGGCACCTTCTGGTTCAGAAAGGCGGAGATATACGTGAGGTCACTCACGTACAGAAACAGCAAGACAAGAGCCACTACCCCGCCCACCACATAGCAGCGAGGGCCTCTCCTCATTCTCATGTCCCTCTGCCAGACCAGGTCCCTGTACTTGGGTAAGGCTTCTGACCACTGGACAAAGGGTTCTTCACTCAAGTCGCACTGGGGAATATGAAGTAAGCGGGAAAAAAGTTACATACAAGGTTACTTTGGCAAAAACCCTATAGTCTGGTCCCACATTGCTAACACACACAAAAAAAAACCCCTACAGTCTAGCACCCACATTGCTAACACACAATCATATATTCAGGTACCGAATTCTTACTTATAGTTGAGAGAGAGAGAGAGAGAGAGAGAGAGAGAGAGAGAGAGAGAGAGAGAGAGAGAGAGAGAGAGAGAGAGAGAGAGAGAGAGAGAGAGAGAGAGAGAGGGAGGGAGGGAGGGAGGGAGGGAGGGAGGGAGGGACGGAGGGAGAAAGAGAGAGAGAGGGACAGAGATAGAAAGGGATGGAGAGAGGGAAGGAGGGAGGGAGTAAGGGAGAGAAAGAGAGAGAGAGAGACTCAGAGAGAGAGAGTTTTGTTCAAATCAGGGCTGAGCTGATCTCTTTAACGGGTAACAATGTAACCTAAACTTTGCACAGCAGTTTGTATCAATTTATCTTGATGTATTCATATTTTTCCACAAGAAATGAGGCTAGATTTAAAAACGTATCTTCATGAATTTATATAAAACACTAAAACGGGGCCAACTGGTCACCCCGCAGCTCGTGTTACAGTAAAACTGCGTGTGTTGTGTGAGCTCATTAATGTGCACCACTGCAGAGTAACGCGCGCAGTCGCTGACCTTGATTCTCCGATAGCGCACAAAGGCCGAAGAAGGATTGCACCGTCTCGGTATTTACGGTCTCTGCCCCTGGCAGGGTCGAGTCTACCGCATTTTCGCACTGCCAGCGAGGAGCACGTGGTATTGCTAGGTGGGAGGGGCAGTGTTTTAGGCTTAAATTGCATAAAAACAAGAGAACATGCACCAACGAATACATGCTTGAATTGGTGATTTAGAATATATAAAAAGAACACTGGTGCTGATCTACCAAAACAATACTAGATCTAGATTTAGTACTAGACTAGCATATCGTCGGCCTTGTGATGAAACCGACAAACCCCAGTGAGGTAAATTTAGGAAAAAACTGTTTTATTTCAAAACAAAGGCGTCTAACGATAAATCAATGCTTTAAATACCTATAAAAACACTTTACCGAAAATCTGTAGACCTTTTTTTCTTTTAAAAATTGATTTTAATGAAACTGTGTGGGTTAGACGGTTATGTCGCTCAAATTTTCCTGGATAAAACCGAACAACCCTCAATTTTGTAGGTTGACCGGTTTTATCAGGAAGCCACTGCTGGCCTTGAGTTTGGTTGATTGAGTGCAGCCAAGCCACACTTGACGGTAACGTATTTTATCACTTGCTTCAATCGTCAAGATCTTTTGGAGGAGGAGGAGGAGGAGGGTGAGGGGAGGAGGAGCATAAGGAGAAAAAAGATGGAGGAGGAGGAGTAAGAAGAAGAAGAAGGAAGAGGAGGAGGACTATATTATTGCTACCAACATACTATCAGCTGCTGCCATTTCAGTGCTACGGAGTCAATTCGGGCAAAAACAGCAGTCACAAAGTTGAACCTTTAATAGAAGTAGAAAAAGCAGAACACAGCAATGGGTATATTAATTACATTTAAAGTAGAAGAACAGTAGGTTGGAAGGGTAAGGGAGAGCAGCTACAGCAACAACTACAAAAACAACAACAACAACAACAAAAACAACAGTAGTAGCAGCAGCAGCAGTAAGCCTTTAGAATTTATGACCGTGTCCGACACGGTACTATTGGCACTGGGTGGCCATTCAAAGGCTTGGGAAAAAGTAATACTAAGAAAGAAATGAAAGCAGAAAGCCACACAAAAGCTCTGCTACCTCAGCAATGGTTTGGGAGAAGTTGGTTACATAATGATATATCATTATTATACAAAAAGACTTTGTGAGTACCATCAAAGAATGCGCCAGCTTTCTCCAAGTGCGTGGCTTGACAACTACTACTTTATTGAGTTTTCTCGACGACAGAAGAGCATGTCTGTCTTACTCTGTGTCCTGTGGCTACAACAAGGCAATACGACAAAAGTTACCATTGTTTTGAAAGACTCTACTATAATCGAATTTGGCTTGATCGCTTTCAAAACTTCTTACTGAGGCAAAGTTTCATGGTAATTGTGGTAGCATCCTGGTACAACGGCATTCAACTCAAGTAGATGTTTATACTGGTTGGCAGTTATCTTCAATCTGTCTTTGCAGAGAGGTCCAGCAGTAACCGTCGTATACACAGGGTGTTCAGCTTTCTTGGTCCTTGCAGTGCCTGCCATCCATCATCAAAGTTCAGCTTGTATTGCATTTTAAAGACTGGAGTGTACTTTGATGTCTGCAAGTCAGTGACAGTAGGATCGCCTGCTTTTCTCCCTAGACGGATTGTTTAGAGCTCTCCGACCTTTGCAAAATCTTTGAAAAAGCTGTGGTCCAGGTACATAACTTCATTAACTTCATAGAGCCTGAGGATGCGTCTGGCTTTGACTACTTTGAGCATGATGTTCACATAGTCCATTGGGATGTACATCAGTGCGTTTTTTAGCGATCGCTCAATAGTGCCATGGACTGAATCCACTTCCATTTGGGTATGGCCCTTGGGGAGAATTTCTGCCCAACTGTGATGTCAAGCTCTTTGGCCAGTGAGGCCATTGCACTCACCAGAGTGGCTTTGTTTTAGTAGTTGTGCCAATCACTGCAGATGATGAAGTGGTTGAAGTCAGTCACTTGCAATATCAGTGAGTCAGACATGATGAAAACTGTTGAAGCTCAGACCAACTTCACTTTCATACCAGACATATCATCTCGCGTCTCTGGTGGCAAGATACTAAGTCGTAACATTGTGTACAGCCAGTTTTGTTTTATATAAGGTGGAAGTCTTTAGTGATGAGGCCAGAAGGATGCACTGGACCTGCATACAAAGGACACACACAGCCTCCCTGTCCTTCTCCTTCTCTGGTCTAGCCAGGCAGCTTTCCTCATATTCATATTTGAGCTGTGTGTTCTGTTTCTGTGAGGTTTCCAGATTTGAACTTTGTACAAATGTCGCACTGGTCTTTCTTGGTTGAAAGTAAACCCAAATTGTTTTTCTTGAACTTTTGGCAGAACACTAGATAGCTCAATGTGGCTTTCACCCTCTCTGCAAAGTTCTCCATGTATACTTGATGCAGATCTGACGTTTTCTGGATTGTCACCTGTAGATAGGAGGATATCTTCGAAAGTTTGTCAAAAAATTCCTCTTTATGGAACAACTTGTCATTCTTGGCTCTCTCATGGTGGGCGCGATGTGTTCTAGGTGGGTGGACTTCTTGGTTGTTGTTTTTTTTTGGGAGAAGACACTTTAAATAAACCAGTGGGTCAGGCCTGTGGTGTTCTTGAAGATTGTTTTACAAACAGGTGTTCTTTGACCATTGACTCTTGTTAGTGGTATTGAAGGCTGTAATTTCTCCTTGGGTTTTCCCTTGCTGTGTAAGATCTCTTTTTGTCTATCATGTGTATCGTGGCATATACGTAGGCTCTTTTTTCTTTCCAAGAGAGTGACCACTGATGTCATTGCATTTTGCACTAACCAGTTTGCAACTGCAAAGGACGTCAAGTTCACATCCTGCTCACTTCGTGCCTTGACATGGGTAGAGGCATCCCCAGTTCTTTCAACCTCTTCCTTTTGTTCCCTTCCAATCGTTTTCATTCCGTGTCCTTTTCGAAGAGATCAAAGGTGACATAACTGTTGTATTGTGAGCTGATGTGACATTAGCCTGGTCACGTTGATCACTTTCCACTGCGCTGAGGGTAAGAGGTGACGCAGCAAACGTGGCATCATCTTATTGAATGTTATAGTATTATGTAAGTTAAGGTTTGATGTAAAGATAAAGCATTATGTTATGACACAGAGAAAATAATCTATATAAAACACAAACGAAATGAACTTTCAAAGAAAGTCGAAAGATGTTTCAGAAGGTAATGACTGCAATAAACACTGCAAATGAAAAAAAAAGCACTTTAAAAAACAACAATGATCGTTGGGGGCATACGGTGTGCTGGACAGGTCCCACATTTTTTTTCTGAGTGAGTTAGTAAAGAATGAAAAGCTACCAACTTCTCCCTTCAATTGCGATGGAAAAAATGATAAAGATGATGCATTTCAAATACCGGAATTGTCACGAGATAAACAGTTCTGTGGGAACAGTGGGGAGTTTTAGTCATTAATAAATTATCAGCAGCATTAAAATAAAGAAAAAAGAGGAAACAACCAGATCTATATAACTCCCCAATGAATCCAACAAGAAATATTACACAAATATAAATTCCTTTTTGGAGAGCTCCCATGAGCAAATTCTGGACTATTACAGGTCTGAATCTGATGTCAAACGAAGTCCGCAGAGGAGTCGAAGCCGGGGTTAGTCGGTAACGTAGCAAGTGGCACCTCATTGTTAGCGCGATAAAAACAGCCAACCCTCATTCTGTCCCTCGCAGGTGGGATAGTCGGAATTATCGGGCTAAAATCCGATGGGTGCCGGGTTATACGGTTTTATTTCTAATGTTTTAAAGACATTTCTAGACAAAATTCAGATCTGTCTTTGAGTGAGCATATATATGAAATGGACAATTTACTATCGATAGGGCCAATAAAAATTTTTAAAATATTTTGTGGGTTAGTCGGTTTTATCACCAGGCCGACGATATAATAACAATTTTGGAGAGATTTAAGCAAAGTCATTTAGTCACACACAATAGGAGTGCGACGAGACAGAGATGTCCGCGTGACGAAATGACTGGTTTCCGTAGAATATGAGGAAGGACTTCCATTTATGAGTGACCATCCCAACAAACACAATAAAAAAAAGACCTTACTAAACCCTAGCCCTACCCCAAACTTAAACCGTATCCCTACCCCAATCCCTCTGTTCTGCTCTGTATCATAGTGGTCGCTCGTTACGGAAGTCCTCCCGAGGTCGATCTATATCATGAGCCTTTGCAAAAAGGTGGGATATCCGGAGTGGCTCACTGACTTCGACAACAACTTACTACAAGGCACTCCTGTACAATTGCGGTCCCGTTAGATCTAGCACTAAATCACACATGCTACTACTGGATATCGATACTGATTGAAGTGTTCGGTATCGATGTTTTATTAGTAGATTTAGCCTACAAAATGAGCAGTAAAATTTCATTAGGGCCTCTATACAAGGCAAGGGGGTTGTCCATGATTTGATGTTTTACAGTTAGATTTGATTGGCTATCTCTCCATAGGCCTATCGGCACGCGCATCAAAAAGTAATCGTTTAGAACCTGAAGTAATTCTTGGTGAAAACGAGTACAGTGGAACTCGGATTCAAAGAGGTCGTCAGGCCTGACCTAAAATCTCGTTGAATCCGAGTGTTCGTTATAGCAAACACGAGGTTTTGTGTAGATAATTACAGGCACTGAGCAAGTAATGTACAAGAGAAGTCACAAGTAGTGCCTGAAATGCCTGCATATTATGAGCTGAGTAAAAAAAAAAGACCGAATCGTTTAAATACACATGCCTGTGCCATCTCGATGGTTTACCAAAAAGTTGTGTTGCTGTGTAGAGCCTAGAATATACGGATACTTTTGATTCCATAGACCAGCGCACAATTCATTATTAGATCTTCGTCAAGACTAGCTTATTATTGACTTAATGATCAGTTGCTGAAGGGAAAAAAAGACTGTGACATGTTTGTATTAGCGACGTTCAACGTCCGGACCGCTTGCGCCCCCCCCTCCCCGACACACACACACAGCCACACGTATGCAGGCCGCCCATCTGACCCTGACACATGCCAGAGTAGACTCGTGCGCGAGCCAACAACACATGTGTTGGTACTTGAAAAGACCGCTGATTGGTCGCATGCAATCGGCTAAGTGAATAATGGTTCACGATGCTGGTGCAATGGATGGTTTCCAGGATTAGGTACAGTTCGTTCTGGGAGAAAAATGAGCGAAGCTACGTCTGCGGGGGCTGTTCACCCTGGAAGCGACCTTGTTGAATCCGAGCTCGCTGATTTTTTAAGTGCTCGTTGAATCCGGGTTACTTTTATTGATTTTAAAGAAGAAAAAAAACGGGGAATCTATCTCATCTCGTTGAATCCGAGTTCTCGTTGAATCCGAGTTCCACTGTATCTCTAAACGGGACCGCAATTGTACAGGACTTACTTCAAGTACAACACAAGGTCCTTCCTTGCAGGGCAGGACTGCAGGTGCAGGCTACTCTCTCAGACTTGCTACTCTCACAGACTTTCTACTTTCTTGTTCTATTCATTTTTAGACCTCCTCGTCTACACAAATGATGGTCATTGTCAGTGGACAGCATAAAAACATCACAAAAAATGATCACTGAACAGTGGGCTGACATTCAACTGAATAAGACATTATAAGAAGTAGATCTCAACTATATGTGTTGTGTAGATCACTACTGTCGGTCCTACTGTGTCAATACCGTACAATAATAATTATAGGGAGTGTATACAGACCCGGTAACCGGGAATAAAGTCACAAAGTATACAGACCCGGTAGGGTAACTCTTTCGTGATTTCGGAAAGTTTCAGCGCCCTCTTGGCTCAGGGTAGAACTAGGTTCTTCTAGATCTATGGCCTAGATCTAGATCTAGGTCTAGATCTAGACAGACAGATAAATCATTGATCTAGTTTCGAGGCTAGCCTAGATCTAGATCTAAATCTAAATGAAGATTGCGGATGTATTTTCGATGAACGATCGTTTTTCCTCCGTTTTAGAGTTGGAGGAATCACAATTTGAAGAAAAGAACAATGTCATAATTTCAATCGAGCAGTCACCCTCTCTATTTCTCTCTCTCTCTCCTCTGTCGCTGTGTATCACTCGCATTCTCTTTTTCTTTGTTTGTCTCTGTCTTTCTTTCTCCCCACCTATTTCCCACTCATCTTTCTCTCGTTCCCTCCTGCCAACTGGGGCATACATTTTGCTAGCACTTCCACCTGCTCTCTCTCTCTCTCTCTCTCTCTCACTCACTCTCTCTCTCTCTCACACACACACACACACACACACACTACCGGGTCTGGGCGCTGAAACTTCCCGAAATCACAGAGTTCCCCTACCGGGTCTGTATTCTGTATACTTCGTGACTTTGTCTTTGTTCCCGGTTACCGGGTCTGTATACACTTCGATAATTATATCTCACAAATCACAATGAATGACAATACTTAGTCGACTTAGATCTAGAAAATAGTCTAGATCTAGATCTATATCTAGACTAGATCTAGATTCTTTAGATCAAGGCTTCTCAATAACACTATACGAACAACAGCAAGCAGCACTTACACACACTTCCGGTGATCACTTTTGTATGGCGATACTTCTGTGCCAGTAGATCTAGGATCTATAACCTTATATTATAAATTGTGACTGTTGAATGAAGAAACTATTATGTTCATCATCTTCAGTTACAGAAAAATATATGGGGCCATTCGTGCGTTGAATTAAACTGTATCAATCGAGCATTGTTGTGATCAACAACCATGGGGATCGGTGACAATTACCCCGGATTTTCTAGCAATCTGTATGAGAAGTATTGAGAAGTCAATCGAGAGCAAAATATGACCGGGGGTATTAATGACAAACTGTATGAAAGTCACCAAAGTATAATTAGGCAGTTTTACTCTTTAAATAATTTGATTTGATTGTTCAATAATTTTTCAGAACAATTTTTAAAAAATTTATTCACCCCAAAACATAAATGTATGTTGGTCTGTGATTGCTAAACATAACGTTGTGCATACCAAACCTGGAGAAAAGATTAGAGGGAGATCACTGTGACATTATGGGGAGCATTATTTATTTGGACCAAATCTAAGTATTTTCTAAGTTAAATAATACACTTTGTTTGTTGTAAACGTATTGAATACGAATTGAAAATCTTAAATATTATTATTTAGAATGACATTATGATGAAAAAGATTTTTGAAATCACATTTCACAAGTGCGCCTGATAAAGCATGAACCACTAAACTGCACACCCAAAGAACAGAAAGTAAAAGTGTGTCACTCGGAAGTTCCTAACGGGCGAGACCAGCGAATGAATTGCTGTGATAAGATAGTGTTAGGCGTCAGGCCCTAGTACTAGAATCTAGATAATCTAAGATCCTGTTGTCACTACCGCTGCCATTTGTGTTTTGTGACCTCAGCACTCGATAGGACCAAACGCATAGCTCCAGGTTCTGACATGGATTCTCCTGCTGTCAAGATCACCCATGTTATTTTTGACGTCGATGGGCTTATCATTGGTAACGACCTGCCTCATCGGATCCTTAAAATTTATAAATCAATAAATTTAAGCCTCCTGTGGCTATGCCTACAGCCCTCTCGATCTAGAATTCTAGATCTATAGATTTTGGATTTTCGGTCTCTAAGTATGCTCCTCGGCCTCGGGGTAATTTTATAAAGGCCAGCTCTATAGATTTTTTATCTATTCGGACTCAAGACTGATGATAGCTCTATAGGGTGCTATCTAGATCTAGATCTAGATTCTCGGACTCGGGGCAAAAAAAAATGTTTTATTTATTCGGAGTCAGCTTTTAAGTGAGTTATGTAGGGAAAATAAACTAAACTTGAACTCCATTTCTCTGAACGGTTTCCATTTTCGAGATTTGTTGATAATTTGCGAAAGGATTGGCCAGTGCGCGCACATGTGTGTGTGTGAATGTGTGTACATGCGTGTGTGAGAGTGTGTGTGTGTAAGATATGAACTGGGGGGGGGGGCATGGAGGGATTTTTTTTGGGGTTTACTTGAAGGATTTTAGTGTTTGCTTTAGGGGTGACTAAATGCAAAATAGGTCACTGCCAAGGTCGAGCAGTCCTGTTTTCTCGCAGAACCTTTTGAAGGCATTTTCAAATAAAGTAAAGTCCGGGAACGTTGCCTCAACCACAACTGAACTGAATATTCAGACATTTAAAATTCTAGAGCTCTAGAATTTGAATTCCATGCGAAAAGTACTTCTTCCCAGTCCTTGCAGAATGTGAGAATGAAAGAGATGACACCTAAATCTCGCAAATAACCGAAAAATCTAGAAAATGGAAACCGTTCGGAGAAATAGAGATCTAGTTTATTTTCCTGAGCATTCGGAGAAATAGCTTCACTTTGGTATTTTAAAAAAAAATCACATCACACAAAAAGGACTGCCGTGGCCTCCTCCACCAGCAAGCCGAGAGTGCATGATCGCTACGCACAAATAGGTCGACGTAATTAACTTTGCCCCCGCCAAGGTCAACTCAACTTGGTTGTTCTGTTCGCTGTTCACTAATGATGCTGGGGGGCCAGTTTAGATAGATAGTTACTGATTCAAGCTCACGTCTCGATTGTATCAATATGATCGAAAAAAATGTCTTACGTGCTGGAAATATTCAGGAACGAGGGTCGGAAGTCGGAACGAACGCCTTGCTGGACTCAATTCAAAGTCCGAATATAATTTGTTTATTCCTTTCTGCCATCTCATAAAGAAAGGGTTTTATTTTTAATTTATTATTTTGTTATTTTGTAGCTGTTTTTTTTTTTTCAGGGCCCTGAACAAGGTTTTTGGCGTTAAACTGTCCCCGTAGAATTATGCAAATTTAGATGACCAAATTATATATTATTCAAAGAAAAAAGCAAAATTATGCAAAAATTATGCAAGTTATCGTAACATTTTTCAGCGAGAATTTTCATGATTTTCATGTTTTATGAACAGAAAAATTGAAAACAGAACATAGTATCAGTAATTTGTTATGTATTTGGAAAGAAAGCAATACACATCAGTCAAAAAAAAATTTTTTTACAAATATAATCTCTGTAACTTTCAGCTGTAGATCTCTAGATCTCTATAGAGGAAAGAAAAATGTCGGGAAAAAAAAGGACATCTGGACCTCTGATGCTGGCACATTACTCAAAAAAAATGTGAAAAAAACGCGGGGAATCCAAAATTATGCAAGTGTTGCAGAATTACACGAAAAAATGCGGCCATTCCTAGCCTTTAGATTCCTAGAAGATATCACCCTTCACCTATCCCATAGACTAGACTTGATGTCCGTCTGGGTGCTTTTAAAGATTTGGTCACCAGCTAATTCCTCTACTCCTTCCGGTCTTCAGCTTTCCTGAGCATGTCTTTGAGGTCCAGGTTCCTTGATGTTGTCCTCCCAACTCTTCTTCGGTCTGCCTTTGCTTCTCTGGACGCTGCCTTGCAGGGTCATCTTGGCAGGGCTGGATGAATGGGTGATGTGTCCATACCTTTGCAATTTGTTTTTCCTGACTAGAGTGAGAAGGTCAGCGTATGGTCCAATTGCATTTTTGATCCGTTGTTTGACTTCATAATTTGTGATGCGATCTTTGTATTAGATACCAAGGATTTTTCGGAAGCATCTCATCTTCAAAGCTTTGATCCTTCTTTCAAAGTCTGCATTCAAGATCCAAAATTAACATGCATACACAGAAATATTGACATGACCAGGGAACGCATCAGTCTGATCTTTGATCTGATGGTGATATTTGTGTCGTTCCATATGGTTTTCAACTTGGTCCTTGCTGCTGAAGTTTATGCGATTCTGGAGAGTATTTCTGGTTTTGATCCTTCGTCTGTCACTCTTGCACCCAGGTATTTGAAACTGCTTACGGTCTCAAGCCTCTGTTGTAGGCTGTCGAGGTCTTTTCACGGCAGTCCACTAAGCTGATTAGTTCTTTCTTGCTCTTGTCCCGCAAGGCCGTCTTTGTCGTCTGCAAAGCGAAAGCTTGTAATCGTTCTGCCCCCTATACTGACTGTTCCTTTGTGATCTTCAAGAGCATCTATCATGATCCTCTCCAAAACAATGAAAAGAGTGGGTGAGAGTAGACAATCCTGACGTACTCTCGAATATAATTTTTTATACTACAATTGAACATGGATAATTCGAACACAGCGTGAGTTGACATTTGACACGAGTTCAATGTCCGTAATTTGAGTAGTCAGAGTAGCCTAAACTACTATGATTATTCAGATTATAATGGAAAATAAGAGAGCTCAAGGGAAGTAATTGTGTTTATTGTACAAATAATTAAAAGCAAAAGGATTGTACTTGTGCCATATGTCCTATATTAACAAGAGAAAGTCCTGATGAGCCTTGCAACTATAAGATACAGCTCTTTAAGAAAATCACGATCATAATGATGAAACCACCAACACTAGTCAGAGCACACCACTCACCCCCTTTGTGTAATCACTTCCATATGGACACAAACATAACTAAGTGGGTGGTTGGCGGGTGCTCTGGTGTGGTTTGCTCCTTCTTTCCTATCAAACATCTATCGTCCTTATCTCCCCTTCTTCTTTTTTATGTTTGTTACTCTCCTGTAACACCTCTAATCTTCTGGCGCTCATATGACCTTATACAGTTGCGAGTGCCGTAAAACTCTTACTAAAACTATAAAAAAAAGCATAACTAATGTACAAACACACGAACATTCTCACACCATACCGCCCAGTGTAATGCCATAAATGACATAGTCTGTCTTTGTTCACAATCACACCATGCTACTCAGCACGTACTCCCACATGACAGATTCAAGGAAGTTTCAGTGCTTTACAGTACACACACTGTGTACAGGTAGTGCTCAATGATGCATCTCTATGCCTGCTGTGTGTGGCTAATGTAACCTTTTATGCTTTATATTTATAAACTCTTATTCTCAATGATTATGGATAGCCTTTTTTTCTATCAGGGGCATAGGGCAATTTGAATTTGAGACAATTGTGTCTCTGTGCAGAATTTGATCAGGCTTTTCTAGTTACTCAAAATTAAAAAAAAATTTTTTTACATTTTATTATTTTTTTGCTAAGAGCTTTAAGGCGCTCGCAACTGCTTAAGGTCATATATATGAGCGCGCAGGACACACCTAATATTTTCAGTTGGTAGGAAATTTTGAATTTTGCCCGGGTGGCGGCCGAAGCCTACTCTCATCGATTTTAGACCACCAAGGGATCTTTACCGTGCGCAACTTCCACATAGGGCCTCCAAGATTTTTCGTCCTTGTCCGAGAAGGCTAGATGTAGATCTTTCCTACCAGAAGATCAGGGATGTGGCTGAAAGACAGCAGTAAGGAGCCATGGAATAGCAGTAGTAAGGCTGGAGAAAGAGTCAGAAGCACAGAGGAGGGGGCAAAGGAGGTGAGGGGATGGAGGCAGAAAGTGGAGACGAAAGCAGATGACAGAACATTGCTAGAGAGCAGGAAAGGAGACCATTTTAGAGAAGAAAATTGTTCCATCGCTACCCGGATTCGAACCTGGGACCTTTGAATGAGAGGCAAACACTTTAACCTCAAGGCCACGAGAGCCCCCTTTTCTAGTTAAGATGTGCAACACGTTTTCAAGAATCATGTGCTATTTAATACAGAATCGAAATTAGTGTCTCAGTAGGGGAATGATATTGTGCGAGTTATTCATCAATTTTTGAATGTTGCAAGGCTGAGTTATCTCTGAGATTTAGTCAGATTCACGCAGGGAGGGGCAGTACAACGAGGTTTGACTGTACTCATAAGAAATTATTCTGCTACTATTTTAGAAAATCTAATTATCTTTGCATCTGTTTTCCGTAGACACAGAAAGAGTGTACACTGAGTGTTTGGAAGAAATCTGTGCAGAGTATGGATGTGAATTTACTTGGGAGATCAAGTCTCAGCAGATGGGCAAAAAGGAACGAGAAGCGGCTCAAGTGCTTATTGGTAAGTGCAGTTCTGTGCTCCTTCTCTTGCTCTTCATAGTTTTGATTTTTTTTTCGTTACACCCCTCTTTGTTTAAATTCCAAAAGTGACATCCGGATAGTTGAATACTTATTATTATGACTCTTGAGTTTAGTTTTTTCTTAAGGTTTTTTGTGAATTATGTTTTTAATATTTCTATTTTTAATTTTTAGATAGTCCGAAAATAGAATAAATTTGTGTTATGTCATCATTCTAGGAGTATTTGAAGTTCCTTCTCATCCTTATGTACTGTTTCTTTTCATTTCTTTAATTGCCTTGTCACTTTGTTAAGTATTCAAGCTCCTTTTCATTCCGATAGACGTCTCTTTTACCACTGGTATTTCTTTTTGTTCAATCAGATGCCTTGAAAATTCCAATGACTGTCGATGAATATGTCCACAAGCTGAAAGCAAGACTGGAGGTGAAATTGCCATCTGTACCATTGATGCCAGGTGCCCACTATCTACTATAAAGTTACTTTTTTTTCCCTCGAGAATATCACCAATTTTTCTATTTGAAGATCTGGGGATCCTGAAGAAACTTTAATTTAGTACAAAGTTGAACTAAATGTCCACTTTATCTCTTTAAATGCTCATAGCTGCACACTGCGTCACTGAAATTCTTGGATGCAATATTATGCCTTCAGGAAGTGAGAAGTTTTAATTTCTCCAACTTCAGCTAAACCTTTGTGCAGCGTCTGGAACTAATATACTATTCGCATTTACATTATATCATATCCATAGTGTCAATGATGCAGCGTGTGGTTCGTTTCATGTGGGGACGTCTAAATAATAAGGCCTTACAAAGACACACTCTGCTCAAATGCAAGCTTTAATCATATGACAATTGACAGGTTTGTTAAAACTTTATAATATGGCAGTCTTGTGGTTGGACTACAAGACCCATAGTTGTGAGGTTGCAGGTTTGGGGAGTTTTTACTGAAAAACGTTGATTAAAGGCACAAAAATGTAAGTTTTCTTTCCACGGACTATCAAGCTTTGGAAATAACCAGACTTTGGCGGCCATTTTCTTGTTCATTCTACCTTTGAAACTAGGTAACCCTACCTTCTTCAATCTCAAATATCTTGACTTCTATTCAAAATAGATGGGTATTTATTTCACCGATAGCAAGACAACTGATCAAGCTTTAAGATGACACCAATAATTCCACATGCCCAAAAATTGACAAGCGCCTGATTCCACCACGTTGTGACACATATGTTTTAGGTTCACTCAAACTCGAGTCACGGTGCTTTCTATTTCTATCCACGCCAGGAGCAGAGAAGCTGATCCGTCATCTCCACAACAACAACATACCCATTGCCCTGGCGTCAGGGTCGGACGGCTGGGGCTTCAAGCGCAAGACAGCGGGGCACAAAGAGTTGTTTGCCCTTTTCCACCACACAGTACTCAGTAGCGACGACCCAGATGTGAAGCATGGGAAACCAGCCCCAGACTGCTTCCTCGTGGCTGCCAAACGGTTTGGAGACGATCCTAACCCTGCTGAGGTGAGCGGTTTGAGAATGATTAGTGCCATTACAATTCATTCTCAAATGAGGCATGCAATTTTCATATTGACATGATTTGAAAATGTTCTGTGCCTACATTTTTTAGCATAAAACTTCATCTATATGTGTATGTTATTTGTGAACGTTCGTCACTTTGGCCGCCTAAAACTTCCGAACCTCTTAACTTTTGAATTTGGAAAAAATTAACGGTTGTTCAGAATCATTTTAAGGGTGAACAGTTATATTAAAGAGTCTGAAGTCACTGTGGTTTAATTTTCAGCTTTTCGTTAGTTTCATTTAGATCTAATCTTTGGGAAGACCGTCTACTAAGACGCCATTGTAAACAAGTGAGGCTTCCGTTCACAAGCAGTGCGCACTGATTCCACAATGATTTGACGATGGATTCTTTTGAGTCCGTTCATCGAAAGGATACCCAGCTAGTATGACATATGTTTGAAAATGTACACAACTCCATTTGTTTGAAAAGGTTCATGACTGCCGTTGACATATGTTTGAAAAAGTTCATTATAACTCTATCTGACATCAGGTACATTTGAAAATGTTCCGAAATCTAAATGTGACAAAACCGTCACTGAATTGGTTATTAAATCAAAACAAATGTACCTATTTTGATGGTTCTTCATCTGACTAAAGAACTCCTGGTGAAAGAGATCTGTTTTTGGCAATTGTCAAAAGCTAATTTGACGCTGAAGTGGTTGCAAGGGAATGTGCCACTGGGAGCGGCTTGCCGAAGATAATGAGTTAAACAACTTATCGTTGTCAGTCGCAAGAAGACTGCATGACTCAATTTGACTCTATTCACGAGGAGAGCAGAAAAATTTAGAGTCCATCTCATTTTTTCTCGAGACAAACACTTTGCGTGTAAAATAACAAGATAAGATAAGATACATCTTTATTGTCCAGATCCTGGCACATTGGTTTAGTGTTTCACCATGTTTACACACTCGCACACTCACATGCACACACACATAGGCTTACAGTCACATGCATAATATAAATGAGCAGCAATAAAAACAATAATAATCATAAACTAGATACACACTCAATGTTATTTTGATGCATGCTCTAAGGTCCTATTGTGGTGAAAAGGGGCTTAAAAAATTTAATGACATCTTCTTCCCAGATCCTGGTGTTTGAAGATGCCCCCAACGGCGCTGAAGCAGGTGTTGCGGCCGGCATGCACGTGGTGTGGGTTCCAGACCCTCGTGCTGACCGCACAGTGCTCCAGGACCGCGTGGACCAAACACTAGACTCGTTGGAGCAGTTCCGGCCCGAGCGGTTTGGCCTTCCTGCATACAGTGAGAGTGTATGATGGTCACAGAGAGAGTACCAGAACCCGTATATATAATATATATATATTATAAATATATATATATATATATATATATAGAGAGAGAGAGAGAGAGAGATCGTCCAGAATATAGGATTATAAAGATGAGAGTGTGTGATTTTATCAGCAAGAATATATAACTGTAAAGATGGGAGTTTATGATTTAATCAGCGAGAATATATGATTGCAGAGTTGAGAGTATGTGATTTTTAGCAGCAAAAAAAATATGATTGTTGTGGTGAAAATATGATTTTATCAGCAACAACGTGGATGATTGTAATGATGAGGGTATTATGATTTTAACGACAAGAATAAACCGTGAAAGTATATGTTATATGATTTTAACAGTAAGAGTATATCATTCGTGTCTCAAGCAATCTGTTTAAGTCCATTTGGGTACAAAAAATAGTTGTCGTGCTGCTCCAATCAGGAATTATGAAAAGCAAGAAAATTGTGAACCTTGACTATAGCATTAAACTGCATTTTGGTAATGTTAAAAAGTACATCCTTGATAGAGCTTTGAGAGGGTGTGAAAATGGAAAATTAAAATTTGGACTTAACTGGATTGCTTGGTACAGCGACGATATGATTGTAACAGTGAGAGTATATATATGATGGTTATGTCGAGAGTATGTTGCAGAGAGAGAGAGAGTAATAATGTGCCACCAATTTTTATTGTTTTGTTGATACTTTACAGGAGTTTTACAGGTTGTTACGTTGCTATTGTACTCATTGTACTTAGTGGTGTCGGTGGTCTAGTCGTTAGGCTACCGGACTCGTAATCGTGAGGTTGCGAGGTCGGGGGTTCGAGCCGCGGGCCCGACGTTGTGTCCTTGGGAAAGGCACTTTACACGAATTTTCCTCACTTCACCCAGGTGGAAATGGGTACCCGGCCATAGACAGCAAAAGATCTTGTCAGTATGTTAGTGTTTTAGCGCCTATAAATGGCTGCTTGCACTGTATGCTTCCCTGGAAGTTGAGTTTGTTTCAGAATGCTCGCAGGCTAATAGTATAGATTGTGAAGCGCATAGAGCTTGCTGTTGAGCGGGGATTTGCACTATACAAATGCTATCTATTATTATTATTATTATTATTATCATTGTGATGGACAAAGGAATGATAGCAAAAATCACAGTATGGGAGGAAATGTGAACTGAAGATTCATTTATCTCTGTTTTAATAATTTTATCCAGAGGTTATGGTATGTACCCAGGAGACAAATAAAAAGTACTGATGTTTCTGTACAAGCTGTTAATTTATTTACTGTTGAGTTAATTTGTGATTTTTTTACATGGTGTACAAGTATTTGAATTTTTGAATGTGTTTGTCCACTGACTTTTGTTAGTGCGTGCCTTTAGGTTTTTAACTCTGGCAAGTCGTATGCTTATCCCCTGCAAGTTTGGTTTATCAAAATGAATATGAGGATTTTCTGCACAAAAAAGGATAAATTTCAAGCTATAAGCATGCATTACCACTCATAAATGTTCTTTGTTTTAGTGAGTGTTTTACAGCACTTGCTAGGGGCGGGCACGAGACGAGCTGAGTACTCGTTTCTCGCGAGAAATGCCCTTCCCGTCGCCGCCCGGGCACTAAACTACTGACCGGTACCGAGAAGTGATACTGCTCATTGGCTTGACATAACGAGTAACAGTAACGAGAGTGAGAGGCGAGAAATGACAACGCAGACAGTGCCACCCATCACCGTGCCGTCCTGTGTGTGAAACTAAAAGGGAGGGGAGAGGGTGGCGAGACGAGGCGAGTGAGGAGTTGATCAGGGCCTAGGCCTAAATCTCCCTACCTTCCTTCACTGCCTGCGCAACAGGGCTAGCCTAGTTTAGATCCCCGCCACGACCGGCCTTCTCGCTAAGCGAGTTTCCCGTCGAACGGCGCGAGAAGAAAAATCTCGGCCGCGGCCAGTCTTCTCGCTGAGCGAGTTACTCGTTCTTCGGGGCGAGAAGAGAAATTGGTCACGAGACGAGAAGCATTTCTCGAGAAGTAGGTCAGCTTTTTGTTCTTCTCACTTGGGAAGAAAAAAGCGTTTCCTGCCCGTCTCTATTTTACAGCGCTTGCAACACAATTAGGTCATAGGCCTGGCCTTCAATTTTGTTGAATCAGAGAGTTCGTTGTAATAGCAAAATATGAGGTTTTTATGTAGATAATTATAGGCATCGAGCAAGTAATGTATAATGTTGTATTTGACTTTCTCTGTCAAAAGTAGTTTGGTCTCAAATGAGAGGCATTTTCATGTCTTTGATACCAAAGAAATACTGGCAAATTCCAGTAAAATACACTGATGTCTACCAAGCACACACTGCAAATGGGGCGGTTCATTCAAATGCACGCCTGCGTCATCTATCATTGCAACTTCATAAAGTCATATGAGCGCCAAGAGATGGATGTCAACAGAGAAGTCCAAATGGGGAGCCAGGCTTGCTAGTCTAGTACTCTGCTCACCTCTCTAGCTTCAACAGCACAAAGTCTGCTTCGACTATCAAGGCACTCTGGAAATTGCGGGTCACAAGAGTGTGACAAACATACAAAAGAAGTAGAGGAAAATGACAATAGTAAGGATGAGGAAAGAAAAATCAGCAGCTCCCCCTATGTTGTTTCGGTACAGTATGAGCAAACTCGGTACTCCTGCATGTGATAATTATGTGATGGCAAACGCTGAATCTGTACCACAGATGCTGGTCTTTCCATCCCAGTCCATGAAGGAGGAAAATGACAGAGATACCATACAGAACCTAGGTTGTGTTGAATTTTGAAAGGGTTCATCTATCCCTCTTGTTAACTCTGACCCAGGGGACCAGTTCTCAAGACCAATAATAAAAGGAGTTACAAAACTTCGCAATTCAATCCACCCATAATTAACCTTCCAACAAACTGATGGCCAATTACCTCAGTCAGAAGTTCCATTCTGGGGTGTCTAAGATGATTTAATCGGCCAGAATTTGAGAAGCTATCGTGGATCATTTATCGCATTTTTTTAAATACCCCTAAACATTGCCTGGTTTCAGAGGTAAAATTAGCAAGAAAATGGCTGCCAAAGTTTGGTAATTTCCATTTCCATAGCTTGAGACTCTCTGGAAAATGAAAATTTACATTTTTTGGTGCCTTTAATCAATGACTTTTTCAGTGAAATTCACACAGAAATGCATTTTCAAATGGATATAAAAAAAAGGTGTTGAGCCAAAAAATAAAAATAAAATGAAAAAAAAAATTAGCCCAACAGCCATTTTGATGGGCGCCTGATTTCACCACGATGTGTCTCGTTTATATATATACGTTCATGGCCTTTCCCTGCTTGGTATGCAAGCTCTCAAACATTTTCCAACCTACTATGGTAAAATCATAAAATTTCCCCTCACACTAACACTTCAGGCTATTTGTTAGCAACACTTGGGAGGGTAAAGAAAGCAAACTTGTAACACCATAGTCAAAATGATCATCCAATTTATTTCTTCCACTCCAGTCATCGAGAGCATCCGAGTCAGCCAATGAGATAAAGAGTTACAATAGTACGACTGTGCATGCCTGTTCTGTAATGACTTATCTCAGCACATAGAGGTAAATTAGAACTTACACATGTACATCATTCAATTCAAACAGAGAATAGCAGGATTCTGAACAGAACAAGCGCAAGCCTAAACCAAGAAGGTAACGTTTAAATGCCACGGTCTGTCATGTAGTTTGCTTAAACTTAAAGAGGCCATTTCCCCAAATTCCTGGGTGAACAGTAACAAAATTTTAATTTAAACCTGAAATTCTAAGCACAACAATCTTCCATAAATTAAAAAAGTACAGTAGAAATTATAACCAAAAAAAAAAAGAACAATACTAAAAACAAGTTCTCTTTTCAACAATTGTCAGGCCATCAGAATTTAAAAAAAAAAAAAAAAACCTCAGCACATTACACAATGTTTTTCTTCTTCTCTGGACAGTAACGGGTAGATACATCTCACCAGCCTACCCGGTACAGGGACCAAAATCGTTTCCAAAGTTCACAAGTTTGAAAAAAAACAACAACAAAGGACAAAGGGCCCTTTATCTTTGGCATTTTCGGATAGCAAGGGAAAATCAAGGCCCAAAAAAATGTAAATCATAACATCAAACGTTTAATGAAAAAATTGCAAAATTTTTCAGATTCATACTTAACTTCAGGACCCACACACATCTCAACTTTACATTCCTAGCCACACAATGTGATCTGAAACATTCGCACTTCTTGCTTTTTTCCTCCCCTCACTCAGGCAACAACGTCAACAGTCACTGTATTTCCCAATCGCAACCCAACTCTCATCATACAACCTTCCCTCCATCAGTAACAGTAACAAAGCAGTAGCCAAATATATATACAAGCAATAAGAGCTCATGACAAACAAATAAAGATGCACACTACACACACACACACACATGTACATGCACACGGCTTGAAAGAGACACACGTGTTCACTTCGATTATTCTCAGACACTCCGCCCTAGAAAGAACAATTTAAACTAAAAATCAAAATTAAAGCAACTGGTGGAATAAATGGAACAACCACAAGTGACACCAAAGTCAGACCCTCGGCATCACGTTTTTGCTGTGATCAATCTGCGCAGAATTCCAAGCAGATGAGGCGTAAAACACAATTTCTCTCTTCTGCCACAATGAAAGAATTGTAGGTTTCTCTGCAAATAATTCTGATAAGACTGTATCTAGAAAACAGTTTGTTCCACAATAGCAATAGTGATGACCATTCAGAAATTGACTCTTTGCTCTCCTGACTTCCGAATTGACTCTTTTCATGACGAAATGAAACAACAACCTTTTCTAATAAAGCGCACAGATCTTACTGTAGAGCATGGATATATGTCTGTCCCCGTGGTTTTATGCACCCCGCATATTTGAGCAAAATTTGATCATTTTTTGCATAATTTCAATTTTTTTCCCTTTGATCATTCTTTGTTAAAATTAACAGAATCGCCAAATTTCACATTTTTGGGCTCAGTTAGCATAATTTTAGAATTTTTTGGGCATAAAACCGCAGGGACAGATATGTGCTTCCAAATAACAATTATTATTACATGTATAACTATAACGAAGTGACTCTCTTATCCCAATTCTATCCCAAGTCAACAGAAAAAGATTTGATTTCCACCTGCCTCTATCTTGTCCATAATAAACTAATGTCTGTAGTGTCAACAAATGTGTCAAGGAGGTTGGTCTTGAACCGCAATAGCCTTGAGAGTGGGTGGTTGGTGGTTGCTCTGGTGAGGTTTCTCCTTCTTTGCAGTTAAACACCTATCATCCTCTTTTCTCCTTCTTTACCTGTATGTTATTCTTTAGTAAGAACTCTAACCTTCAACATTCATGACCCACATGCGTTGCAAGTGCAGTAAAATTCTTATGAAAAATAAATAAAACACCTTGAGAGAAAAAGGTGGCCATAAGGGAAAATGTACATTATATCTGTATTAGTTTTATACACATTTATTTAGGATATGGGTGCCTTTAGTCAGACTGATGAAAAAGAGCCTCAACAGGACATGGCATCTTGCTCGGAAGAGAACAAAAACCATGAACCGCCTTCAACAACTTCCTATCAAAACTCACCAAGCACAATACTTCTAAACACACTTCAAAAACTATCATCTTTCATTCTTAAATTAATTAATTTTGTATTTTCAAAGGCTCACACATCACAGGCAGTCACCAGAACTCTAACGGACATAGGAGTGGATTGGCACCTAAAAAAAAAAAAAGACAAAAAAAAGGCAAAGCAGCTGTATCAAAAATAAAGAATCTTAAACAAGAGAGGAAACAAATAGTGTCTAGAAATCTAGTTCAGTTTCTTTACCAGTTGGCAGCAAGCTCATTGATGACAAAATGAAGAGTACCTTACAGTACAAAAACAACACACCTGAAAACCCTTGATAATTTAAGACAAATTCAACTAAAAAACAATGATATTTAAGACAGTACTGTCATTCAATTATTTACAAAGAGTCCCAAACTGAAAGACTGGCACATATGCTCAGATACAAAGATACAATATTTGAAATGCAAACTAGTTCCTGCAGGTCTATTTTCTTCAAAATGACGAATGTATAAAACTGCATTTCATTACGTCTAACCTGAGGACAACTAAATGTTTTAACAAAACAGGGCATTGCATTCAATCCTCATTAACAATTGGAAACTGTTTTTCTAGCAATTTCATACATCTCAAAATCGATCAGCAAGGCTTTTAAAAGATTTTTAAAAAGCACTGTCACTTGCAATAATTGCAAGACTTGAGGAATCTATTCCATCACACTTAGTCGCAGACACACTCTCTCACTCGCACAGATAATTACAAGGCTTCAAAACAGTTTTCCTTTTCCCATTCATATTAACTCACTGAATCTATTAGCATTAATGCACACACAAGAGGTATTTTCCTATAAACAGCCAACTCCTTTCATAATACATGTGCAATTTCAACTTAGTAATTTTTCTTCCTCCAATCCTATTGCAAATATGTGATAATATAAGTAGATACCATTAGTTAGCTGTTCTATTCCACTTTTGTTCCTTTAAGTTACACGACAAAAACTTTAGGTGCAAAACATAGATTTTCTTTGAAGTTTAAGCTGCAGTCTCTTGTGGGAAGCTCAGTTCTGCTGAATTTTGCTAAACAACACAGGATATTTTCTCATTCAGTTTTCCTTACTTTTTTCAACTTCAATACACACAAAATAATGACAGATGTGCACCTCTCATCAATTTGTTTTGAGACTATCCTATTTCTAATATTAAATCAAAATATGAGCCAATTACAGACATAAATAAGAAAGTTTTCTTTTAATTTATGAAAAACACCATTTTCTCCCAGATGTCAGTGAATAGTCTGCCGCCTGCCTCGCAGGGCCTAGGATTCAGCGAGCTAAACAACAAATATCTTCACAAACATTAAAAGCTCCCACAGTACACACATCAAACACACAGCGTACACACATATATTACACTGACAAGATCAAACTCATATCAACAGCTGAGACGTTGCCATTGAAGCTTGGCCCACCACGTTGCAGCCAGCCAGGAGCCAGTGGACCATGGGCTCATCCACGAGAGAGGACATTGACCCTTGACCCCCCACGACCTGTCACCTTTGAGCTCTGGCGGGAGGAGATCACTTGCCCGTCCTCTGCACCACCCACTCTTGCTGGCATAGCGGGCAGCGGTTGTTCTGTTTCACCCAGAGGGACATGCAGCAGTTGTGGAAGGAATGGTTGCACTCGCCCCACACCACTGTGGGCAGAAATCAACAACAATGTTTTATTTATGTGCAATTCTCAAACAGAAAATAATACGAGGAACACTCTCGCCTCTTCCTCATTACTCAGACAGATTGTTGAGGAGTCTTAGATGTGGTATAACGTGGTTTTTTAGCCAGCCTAGCATTGTATTAGACATCTACCCGAATAAATCTAGCTCGTAGTTAGCCTGCTGAACACAATGGCTGCACGTTTTTCTGTTCCTTAGTAAGGACCGTTCTCTGTAAGTCGCCTAAGTTACCCCGAGTGGCCTAAGTAGCCCAGGCTGACGGTAGGTTAATCACCACATTAGACAGGTGGACATCTTGGACAGTGTCATTATAATTCAGATTTAATGGCAGCTCAGAGCAGTGTCAGTGTGGGACTAGCAGCCAAACAGGAAAACATCTGCTACAAGCTCGCCCAATTTCCCAAAGGGGGGAATATTAACACGTTCTTATACACAGTAGAATTGTTAACGGACTGATATATCAATGTCATGATTGTACTGTGCCGGAACAACATAGGGGGAACTGCTGATTCATCATTTTTCCTCTACCTCTTTTGTATGTTGATCACTCTCTTGTGAACTGTTATTTCCAGGGTGCCTTGGTAGTCGAGGCAGACTTTGTGCTGTTGCTGCTAGAAAGGTGAGCAGAGTAAGCCTGATTCCCCATTTGGACTTCTCTAGTGACATCCACCCCTTGGCACTCATATGACCTTATGTAGTTGTGAGCGCTGTAAAACCTTACTAAAACTAAAGCACTAAGCTCGCCCAATGCTCAAGACACTTGAAAGGAAATATTGGCCGAACCCAAGGCAGACAGACCTAACACTCTAAGTAAGGGAGCCTGGAGGACCTGCGTTGAACAGCAGCCTTCGCACTAGAAACTGGGTTGCCCACTTACAGATGATAGTGAAGAAGATGACTGATTTTAGAAAGTGGGAAGTGGGTGTTTGTCCAGTTTATTGTCTTGGACAGGTGGCCATTAGAGCAGGTTCAGTAAAGATCAAGAAAGTAACGTTTTAAAAGAGAAACAAATGTGCGCTACATGTGGTCATGAATCCTTGCAGAATGTTTGGTAAAGACAAAGCAAGACGAACATATATAGACATAATTGAACAGAGCTCACTTTCTTCCCTTACATCACACCCAGTACTATACATACAGATGTTGCCAATTTTTTTTTTAAAAAGATCAATTTTATTTTATACATGCCACATGTTTATTTGTGTCCTGAAGTGGTGGAATCAGGTGCTTGTCAATTTGGGGGCATACGAGGTTACTGATCTTAAAGTCTGTTCATTTTATTTGCCTTGCTTGAATTTTGATGAAAAAAAATGTATACTACCTTTCCTGTCACTGAAACTTAGGTGTCCCCAAGTCTTAATGAGATAAAATATAAGCTGCTTTATTAAAAATATAAATCAGATGTGAAAGCCTATATAAATACTTAATGAATAACCCGATCCTTTTCAACAGCAAAGGATGAAAATTATTGAACAAAGCACTTACCAACACAATCATCCTGCTTGTTTTCCGACTGACATCTCAAGCAAGCATCTGATAATAAAAATGACATTAACAAAACATACACTTTTTCTGTACAAATATACATTTAATGCGCTTACTATACACAAAAAAATTAAAATAAAAAACTCACAAAAACATCATATTCAAGGTAATATATGTCATAAAATCATTATGTTAGTCATGAAAGTATCTACATGATTAAACCCACAACTTGAAATCAAACAGTCAAACCCCTGCACGTAATATATAGCATTGTAGCAGTCAACTCTCCATAGCGACCAAAGGTCCGTACCACCAGTACCACCCTTGCATTTTTTTCTGCTATGCCTTTATTAGCCCGTCAAAGGTGGCCATGGTTAGTCATTTTCATTATAAGTCAGCCTCAAACCTAGCTCTCATAGCAATCACTTGCAATTGGAAATGGAGCGGAAAGACAAAATGAAGATTTGGGGTTGTTTTTGGGGAGAAGTGTTTTACAGTGCTCACAAATGCATAAAGGTCATATAATATAAGCCCATGGGATCGTGGGACACATTAAATTTCAAAGCATTTTCAGACTGGAAGGAATATATTTTTAATTTCGCCCGGGTAGCTGCCCAAGCCTACTCCTGTATCGGTTTTAGGCCCACCAAGGGATCTTTAATGTCAGCAGAGTCTGAATAGATAGAACCGACCGTTCAGATTCGAGTCCAAACAGCTAAAAAATCTAATCGAACTCGAGTCTGAATAGAGCTGGCCTACATGAAGCTACAGCTGGCACCTAGCACTGTACCTCTGTGATTGGCTCAAATATAGATGACGTATTTCCGCCATCTATTTTTGTTATCAACCGGGGCTTCCCTCGCCAGTTGACTAGATCTCACCGTAGCGGGCCCGCTTTGCCACTTACCGCATGGCAATGGACCATGTCACTAGTTTTCATCGCTGACTGCTTGGGCAGTGTGAGTGTGTGTGTGTGTGTGTGTGTGTGTGGTGTGTGTGTGTGTACGCACGCACTTGTGTGTGTGTGTTTGTGTGTGTGTGTTTGTGTGTGTGCGCATGCACTAGTGTTTGTGTGTACAAATTTGAATAAGGTAAACTTAAGGAACGAGAATTGCTGTGACTGTTTATAAAAAAGATAACACGAATTAATACAAATAAACAAACACGCTTGTCGCGCATCAAACGTTATGGATCTAGATCTAGATCTAGGCCCAAATAAGGGGGGTGGGAACTACCGAAAAAGTGCCAATTTATGTCAAGTTGTCGATTCATCATGCCGATGATCAACTAGATCTAGATCTAGATCTAGTGAACTGTCTGAAGGACTACAACTACAAACTAGCCCACCAAACATACCAAAGTCAAAACTTTTGTAATAGATCTAGACTCTCGATTTACATCCGGATCTTGGTTGGCATCTACTATTATAGCAACAGTTCCCATTATTTATTATTTTTATTTAAAGAAAGCTGACTCACCCATCACTTGAACTCGACAAATAGCGCAGGTGTCACATTCTACGTCCCAGCTCCACATTGCGACCAAGTTCCATTTCTTTAGAGTGAACATTTTGTCTGGCTTTTGTACTGCTTCTTTGTCAATTTGATCTGTTTCCATTTTCTTTGACATAATTACAGCTTAAATACTCTACGAGTAACGCAAACAATTCGTCTCCACTAGAAGGTGCTGAATTCAGATACTGGCAGAGCTACTGCTACTTTGTTTTCCTTAGTCAAGCTGAAATTTACGAAATACGAAGCGAGCGATCCATATTTTTAAAGACAAGTAGAAAACACACTTCCTATGTGAAAATGAAAGCCATAACGAATCAATCCTAGTAATTCGTCTGCCGGGTGCACATTATAATTCTACATTCAGAGTAGAATTCAGTGGCCGGGTGAGAAAGTACTGTTTTTAAGCTTTAAAAAAAAAAGAAAACCGAAAAAAAAACCCCAAAAAAGAAAACCAAACCCCCCCCCCAAAAAAAAAAAAAAACAACAACAACAACTAACTGATGGACACTTTTAAAAACATTTTTTTCTTTTAATAGAATTCTATGGTACGTGTACTAATACATAATGTAGCCTATGCCTGTAAAAAATTATCTGGATGCATCAAGAACAAAACACGGACTGATCGTGTACCACTCTCGTTCTTGCCTGTTTTCTTTTGATTTTCCCCTTCGATCGAGTTACAAAACTGATATGTGTCGTCAAAGAGAACCGGTAGTGTCCCACGTTGCTCCTGTGTTTCTTCATCTGTTTTACTGGGGGGGGGGGGGGGGTTGTTTTGTTTTTTAATTCTTTTTTTTTTACTGCGAGTAGAGGGGGGTGACAGCTTTAATAGAAATGTCAATAAAAACTTGATACTTGACACTGGAAATGATCACCCTTTCAAAATGACAATAGATCTAGCTCTGCTGGGCTTTGTTTAAATTTCGAAGAACCGGCTATTCGCTTTTCTTTTCTGTTCAATAAAAAAACTATTTTAAAAAAAGAAAGAACAGACGCTATAGGCATTGGCCTGCAAATAAATCAGGGGTGATGACATAACACAGAAGCTGGAGCCAAATTATAATATGCTTTCATCATCCATTGCATCGGATTTTGAATAGGCCTCTATATTGTATGCAGACATATTGTATGTACAAAGTCTGCGTGTTCGGTTTCAGATTTTTAAAAATTAGTTCTCATCTTTTTATAATGTTTGTTTAATTTTATCAACACTTTTTGACCCACCTCTTATTACACGTTTTCTGTGCTCCCGATGTGTTCACTTTATTAGAATTCCGCTGTAATGTGTTTTATTTGTAATGAGGCGCTTATTTAACATGGACATGAGTCTCAATTTTTTCCTTATTAGTAAGAAAGAGTGTAAGCAATATTTTGCTTGAATGATTTACTCTGTCATTTTTTTGGTAAATGAAGAACTACATATATTTATTATTATGTGCATGTATGTATGTAGGCTATGTGTAGCGGCCACGGACCTACATGTAAACGATGACCTCACACCGACAAGACAACTCATGACTGACCGGGGAGCTGAGCGGGACTCATGAGGAGCTAACCAGCCGTCCAACTCGTCGGTCATTCAAGTCGACAGCTACTCACAGGACAGGACACAAGGTAAGGAGTGTGCCCCTCCTACATTGGTGACCCCGACGAGCGGCTCGAACCAGCGACTCCGTGAAATTTGGTGAAATTCTTTGGATTATACCGGTGTAGCTACAACGACAATGGCCATTTTCCAAGTAAGTGCTGTTGCGATTAAACTTCCAACGTTTTGGACATCAGGCCCTGAGGCCTTGTTTGCTCAAACGGAAGCACAATTCGCTCTCCGAGGAATCAACCAAGATGACATTAAGTACTTCCATGTCGTTGCCGCCTTGGACAACGACACAGCCACTAGGGCGCTGTCAATCATTACGAACCCCCCAACAACAAACAAATCATCATCATCCAATGCCAGATCTGCGACAGACATCGGCGATCATGATTTTCCATTCATTCCTTTGCTCGGATGCTCTCAGAAAAGCTACGTTTCCCTGATCTTTCCCTGTTACCCATTTGTTTAGGTTCCCTAAGTATGTTGTTCTGGGCCTACCCCTGCCTCGCTTGCCTTCAAGTTTGCCAGTGAGAGCTAGATGTTCAAGACCCTTATGTCTATTCAGGTGTCCCAAAAACTGCATTTGTCGTTTCCTGATAACAAACAAATACGAGTCTATAAAACGTTTTCTCTTGTCCGCTTACGGCCTTTCAAATACGGAAAGAGCAGCAGCGCTGTTCAACTCCACTGGTTTGGGAGACAGAAAACCTAGTGAGCTAATGGACTCCATGCTGGCCCAACTCGGCGCACACGAACCTTGTATTCTTTTTAAACATCTGTTTTTGAAACAGCTTCCAGAACAGATAAGGACGCCCCTTGCAGCACACGAGATCTTGACTGCCGCACTCAGGCACAAGAAGCCGACAAAATCTTTCTGTCTCTTAACTCCCCATCACAAGTGTTGTAACTCAAAGAGAAACCAACCTGAGACCACACACCTCCCTTGTCCCGATATCACATCAAAATCGGCAAGAAGGCAAAGAAATGTAATCCGCCTTGCGCTTTCATAAAGATGTACTCACAGAACCAGGGAAACACCAAGCTGAGTCAGCAGTAGCCGGTTGCGCTTCTGTTGGCCCACAGAACCGAGACTCAGCTTGTTATAACAGACGGGGATTCAGGGCGACGCTTTCTTATCGATGCTGGGGCACAGGTTTCAGTCACTCCAGCAACATGGCAAGAGAAAAGACAAGGTACCTCAGGACCACCGCTAATAGAAGCCAACGGCACCAACTTTCCCACCTATGGTGTGCGCAATATATCCATCAAACTCCACAGCAGGTGTTTACCCGTAAGACTCGTCGTCGCGGACGTCAAATTTGCCCTTTCAGGCGCGGATTTCCTTCGCCAACACAACCTTTTGGTGGACATCAGAGGCCAACAGTAACAGCTGATTGAAGCAGAGACCCTAGACACATATCAATGTACAATTAGCAACATTTCTTGTGCACAGCTAGCCCTCGTTGATCCTCAGTGTAATTAATTCCGAAAAGTCCTTTCGGAGTTTCCAGAAATCTTACAACCCACCTTCTCTGCATCAGAGGTGAAAGATAAGATAAGATAAGATACATCTTTATTGTCCAGATCCTGGCACATTGGTTTGGTGTTCCACCACGAGTACACACACACATGCACACACACATGCACACACACACACACACACACACACACACACACACACACACACACACACACACACACACACACACACGTACACACGTGCACGCACATGCACACAAAAGTAGGCTTACAATCACATGCATAATATAAATGAGCAGCAATATAAACAATAATAATCGTAAACACGGAGTATTGCACCATATACACACTACAGGGCCCCCACTCCACGCCAGAGCACCCTGCCTGCCGCCTCACAAGTTACACATTGCGAAAACAGAATTTGCAAAAATGGAAGAGATGGGTATCAGCCCTAGGTCCAGCAGCCCAAGGGCCTCGCCCCTTCATATGGTTCCAAAGAGCAACGGAGATTGGCGTCCTTGTGGTGATTATCGCAGGCTCAACGACCGCACAGCGCCTGATCATTACCCAATCCGGTACATATTGGATTTTCTAGCTCACCTAGCAGGCAAAACTATTTTCTCAAAGATCGACCTGGTTCGGGGATACCATCAGATCCCCGTTGCTCATGGGGACATCCCGATAACGGCTGTCATAACCCCTTCTTGTCTGAACGAGTTTCTTAGGATGCCATTTGGAATTTTTTTAAAATGCGGCACAAGCATTTCAACGGCTTATTGATTCGGTCCCACAAGATCTCACTTGCACGTTTGTGTACTTGGACGATATACTGGTCGCAAGTTCTCCCAAAGACAACACTTGGACGATCCCCGAGCGGTCTGTCAGAGACTGAGATATGCAGGTCTGGTGGTGAAGTTAGAGAAATGTCTCTTTGGGGTACGTGAGATCGATTTCCTTGGTCACCGTGTCACAGCCTCAGGATCAACCACTCTTCCTGACAAGGTCAGGACCATAGAAGACTTCCCGCAACCCAACACGGTCACAAGCCTCCAACAATACTTGAGCATAATCAATTTTTACAATCGCTTCATCCCAAGCGCGGTAAAGATTATGACCCCACTGTATGATGCTTTGAAAGCAGGAAGTAAGCAATCGTCACTCTCTTGGTCTCAAGAAATGTCCAACGCCTTCCAGAAAAGCAAGAGAGAACTTGCAACAGCTGCCATGCTCTCTCACCCCCAGGCCGATGCCGAAATTGCATTGACTACCGACGCCTCTGACCAAGCAGTAGGAGCTGTGTTAGAGCAGTACACCAATGGATCCTGGCAACCTTTGGCGTTCTTCAGCCGACGTCTTCGTCCAAACGAAAAGAATAGAAGTACAGTGCTTTTGACCGCGAACTACTCGGCCTCTGCTTGGCTGTCAGACATTTTCGTTTCTTGCTAGAAGGTGGATGCCTTACGGCTTTCACCAACCACAAGCCCTTGACGGCTGCTATGTCCAAGATTTCTGAGCCGTGGTCAGCACGCCAACAACGTCAGCTCGCATACATTTATGAATTTACCACCAACGTGCAGCACATCTCAGGTAAATCCAACGTTGTTGCACACTTCGTGTCTCGGTCCATTCTTCAGGTCACACTCAATTTGGACTACAAGGCCATGGCTACGGCCCAGGACAGTGAAAGCATACAGGTACTACCGACGGCCTCAACGCAACGAGCTTACGTGTGGCGTTTGTACCTACAGAACCAGGAGGTCCTGAACTACTTTGTGATATCTCTACTGGACATACAAGACCCATAGTGCCCCCACAGTTTCAGAGGCAAGTTTTTGATGCCATGCACAACCTCTCGCACCCAGGAAGAAAAGCAACGGTTAAACTCATCTCTCAAAAGTTTGTTTGGCAATGTCTACACAAACAGGTTGGCAAATGGGCCCAAGAGTGCCTCGTCTGTCAATCCTCCAAAGTACAAAATCACTCCAAAGCACCTCTTGAAACATTTCCTGTTCCAAAAAGAAAAGATTTTCGCACATCCATTTAGATCTGGTTGGACAACTACCCCCATCAAACGGTTACACGCACCTCTTCACGATCATCGATAGGACAACACGTTGGCCAGAAGCCATCTCACTCCAGACCACTACAACAGCAGACTGCGTCCACGCCC